CTTCCCTGGCAAAAGTTAGACAGGGGCCAGATGAACCCTACAGTGACTTTGTCTCGCGGCTTAACTTGGCTGTAGAAAGGCTTCTTGGGCCTAGTGAAAGTGAAAGTGCCTTTGTTAAACATCTTGCCTTTGAAAATGCTAACCCGGACATGTCAAGATGTCCTCCGGCCACATAAAAACAAGGGTGACCTCTCTGAGTTCGTCAGGCTTTGTGCTGGAGTAGGAACCACCCACGCCATGGGGCTCACCATAGGCGCTGCTTTTACCAAGGCATTTCAAAGTTCAGTCCCCAGCTCACATACTTGCTTTAATTGTAAACAACCTGGTCACTTTGTGAATGTCCCTTCGGCAAACAAAGCCAAGGGGCAATGCCCTCCCAAGCTACAGGTAGACCACTCCCTGCCACTCTTTGTCTTTTAGGTCAAGAACAAGCAGCCCCAAGGTGGCTGCCAGAATGTTTGATAAAACAGGTGAATGGCTTACCACAACCCAGGGGAAACCTTCCCCCCCCCCCCCCCCACCAGGATGATGCCTTTTCTCTTACAGATGCAGCTAGAACTCCAGACATGGACCTTCCTGTTTGAATTTATTAAATAACAGATTAATCTCTTGGCTTCTAAGACCATACAGGTTCATCACCATCGCCTTGATATGGCAGACGGCGGCATTGAGATCTAGGATTTACCACAGGCTTTTATTAGTGTTTTGCCATGAGCTTGTTCCAGTGGGAAACCCACCCCCCTTCTTTTTTCTTAGAAAACCCTTCTCCTTATTCATAACCCCTGACCATTCAACAGGCAAGACCTATTGCGCCCTTGCCATAAGGGATAGGTTCGCCCCTCCTCCTATAGGCCCCTCCACTTGGGGGAGGATGCACCTATGGGAGGAAGAAAAAATGCTCAAATCAAGGGTGCAGGTAAGACTGCAGGGGGATGGATCCGCGAGATCCCAAAACCCAAGACCCCTGAGTGGCAAGCTCTGGTGCATGACAGTTGGCATGCATACCCACAAGCCATCTCCTCAAAAAACATGCCAAGGCATGTAAAACTCCCCTCCCTGAGTGAGGACGCTCGCTCAGGAGCGGAGAAAAACCCTGGGCCCTTAGAGGAACAGAGCCTCTGTCACCCCCTTAAAAAGAGCAGCCAACAATTAATGGTCAATTTTCTAAATAAGAAAGGGGTAGATGTTGGGAGCCAACTATCTCACTGGAACATCCTGAAGCTGAGTTTACAGAATCCCACCTTTTCACCCTGCCCTAAGCAAACACCCTGCAGATACTAATGACCACCTTTTCACCTTGGCCTAAGCAAGCACCCTGCAGCTGCTTCGGCCAATGAAAAAGCATCCTTATTCCAAGCATATAAATACCCTTGTGTGAAAAATAAAAATTGGCAGCTGGATCAGAATCCTTGTCTTGCTGTCATTCTTCGTGTCTCTTGTCCCTTCATTCCTTCTCACTTAGGTTCACTGCCCTAGTTGAAGTCCTGCGGGTCGGGACACATGACAAATATATTAAAGATGATTTCAGGTTTAAAGACTGCTTCAGTAAACTAAATCAATGTAAGATCATCCACCTGTAGGCAGAAAAAGAAATGTACACGCACTCTCACAAGAATGCAGAGAGCTGGAATTCCTTGTCCAACAGTTATACTGCTCAAAAAACATATTTTAGTTGTCTTTTATTGGCCATAATCAAGTTCCAGCCCCTAAATTAAGAAAAGTAAAGCTCAGTAGGGAAGAAATGAAAGAAGCCTACTACCAAACTCTTCATTTGGTACAGAAGTTGTATAATAAATGTACATGCCACCCTCAGCGAGTATACCATGTTGTGGCATGTTGGAAAGGTTTGGTTGATTGATGTCAGTCAGTCAGTAGAACCAACTCATCTTCATGGCCTGGAGTTCTTGTTCTGTGACTGTAGGAATGTTTCAGTTTTTCCAGAAGGGAGGAGTAAAGGAAGCCCTCAGTGAACAGCAGTTCTTCAATGCTGTTTCAGACTTGAACATCTCAGCAGAAAAAGGAACTGACTTCTTAGCTGAGATAGAAGCATTGGAGAAAATGAATGAAGATAATGTTCAGAAGAATGGAAAAGAAGCTGCTTCATTTTTGCAGTGTTGTATGCTGAATGCATCAGTGCCCACTGCTTTCTGTATCAATATGACCGTGATTGTTAGCGCCTACAGCAAGTGCAATATGGATGACTTAGAATTCCAACACAGGAGGAGTGGACAGTGGTACTTCTGTTTTTCCCCTTGTAATCCCTGTGCCAGATATGTGAAATTTTTAGCTCGGCATTGAGAGAATAAAATGTTACTACCTCTCATCCTATGGTCAGAATAATACAGTTCCTTAACAGCTATAGATCATCTAGGGAGACAGAATTATATATAACACATGGTAGAAAATGTTTTGATAAGATATTTTTTTTTTTGCCAGTCCTAGGGCTTGGGCTCTGTCCCTGAGCTGCTTTTGCTCAAGGTGAACAATCTACCACTTGAGCCACAGTGTACTTCTGGCTTTTTCTGAGTAATTTATTGGAGATAAGAGTCTCACAGAGTTTCCTGCCCAGGCAGGCTTTGAACCATGATCCTCAGATCTCAGCCTCCTGAGTAGTTAGGTTTACAGGTAGGAGCCATCAGCACCCAGCCTTGTAAAAATTGTTAAAACTTAGATAACACTTCCAAAAAGGAAAGGGACAGATGTGTTTAAAAGGGAAGTATTGGTATAACACATTGCTTTATTTACTTCCCCATTTTGTGTTACAGCCTTCCTCATATATTTTTTGCCCAAAATGATCCCTTCTGCTGGGCATTGGTGGCTCACACCTGTAATCCTAGCTACTCAGGAGGCTGAGATCTGAGGATCACTGTTCAAAGCCAGCCCAGGCAGTGAGTGAGACTCATCTCCAATAAAACACCAGGAAACTGGAAGTGGCGCTGTGGCTCAAGTGGTAGAGCACTCACCTTAAGCTGAAGAGCTAAGGGACAGCGCCCAGGCCCAGAGTTCAATCCCCACAACCTACCAAAAAAAAGAGCCCTTCTAGACTGTGACCATGGTGCTGTGGGAAAATTTCTTCTCCTTAGTGGGTGATGAAAGTGTAAACTGTTTTGGAAGAACTCATGGAAATAAACATAAGCAATACTTTTATTGGTATGTGAAGGAAATCAATGGAATGCTACTTTCCCTGCTCATATTAAAAAAGAATTGTAGATTTATGAAAGAGATAAATTTGTAAGAAAAATTGTAAATTCATAATCGCATTTTAAAACTAAATTTCAGGGTTGGGAATGTGGTTTAGCTGTAGAGTGCTTTCCAAGCATGCATAAAGCCCTGGGTTTGATTCCTCAGTACCACATAAACAGAAAAAGCCATAAGTGGCACTGTGACTCATGCAGTAGAGCATTAGCCTTGAGTTGAAAAAAAAAAACCCACTAAATTTCAGCCTTGAAATTATTTCTTGGGGCTGGGAAGGTGGCTCAGTGGTAGAGTGCTTGCCTTGCATGCCTGAGGCCCTGGGTTCGATTCCTCAGCACCACATAAGCAAAAAGAAAAAAAGCCAGAAGTGGTGCTGTCGCTCAAGTGGTAGAGCGCTAGCCTTGAGCTGAAGAGCTGAGGAACAGCCCTCAGGCCTAAAGTTCAAGACCCACGACCGACAAAAAAAAAAGCAAAACTATGTGACAGCACCCAGGGCCTGAGTTCAAAACCCAAGTACTAGTACCAAAATAAAAAACAAAAACAATTGTTTCTGTTAAGTTCAAATTACTTATTAGTATTATAATCAAGCCTTATTTGTTGTTATGTTAAAGATGATATAGAAAGGTTACAGTTACAACAGTCAAAGAGTTCATTTATTTTTGGACAATGTCACCTCTTCCCCTGCTCTCCCAGTCTTTCCCTCCTCTCTTCACCACAAGTTTTATAATTTATTTTCAATATTAGTGTCTAGTAAGGACCACTGCTGCATTTGGTCACCCTTTGTCCCTCCTTTTCTATTAAATCAAGTATTTTTAAGGACTGTTGTTTTGTTGGTCGGGGGCTTGAATTCAGGGTCCTAGTGATATCGTAGAGCTTTTCTACTTAAAGGTAGCCCTCTATTACTTTGAGCCACAGCTCCACTGAGGTTTTCTGGTGGTTATGTGGAGATAAGAGTCTCAAGGACTTTCCTGCCAGGGTTGACTTCAAACTGCTACCTAAGCCTCTGAGTAGCTAGGATTACAGGGAATGAGCCACCCACTTTAAGGACTGTTTCCTGTGGAACATAGTGAATATTGACAGATAGAATGCACATGGCACAAATAACCTTGAGGTCCACACGGATGTGGGAGTGCGCACTGCTCCCAGAATCAAACCCTTGAGAAACTTTGATTTGGCCCCCAGGCTTGGACAGAGTGCTGGTGCGAGAGGACAGGAATCGGGACGAAGCCCCAGGTGCCCCGGCCTAGATCTCAGGGTCTTGACCCAGAGCGGCTCTGGGTCCAGAAGCTCAGCACTGGGGATTCCCAGTCTCCCCAGCTGGAATTCTTCCCCAACCTATGTCGGCAGAACATTAGTGACGCGGCCCAGCTCTCGCTGCTATTGGCTGTCGGGTTCTAGAGAAGCCAATCAGTATCACTGGGGTTCCTTGTTCTAAAGTCCCCCACGAGCTACCAGGACTCAGATTCTCCCCAGAGTCTCAGCATGAGGTCATGGCGCCCCATCCATCCTGACGCTGCTGTCCGGGCCCTGACACTGACCAAGACCTGGGCGGGTGAGTCTGGGAACCAGGGGAAACAAATCTACAGGACAGAGGGAGGGAACAGGTAGGTAGGGTGAGGGGACCCTCGAGGATGGGGGGAGGCGGACCGGGAAGCCATGTGCCCTCCCCTCCGCCCAGACCCTCCTGCCCCCTTTCTGTCTTTCTGAGCCCCTTCTCCCGGCCCCTGCCGTGCTCCCGCCCCATCCCCCCTCTTCTGCTCCACTGTGGGTGGAGCGGGACACGCGGATCAGCATGGAGGCGCACAGATTGCAAAAGTGAGCCTACAGAATCTGCTCGGCTACTACAACCAGAGCGCGGACGGTGAGCGACGCCGCCGGGTCGGAGGTCACGACCCCTCCACGCCTCCCGCTGACCAGCCCGAGCCCCCGGGGTCTCAGGACTGAGGTTCAGCCCAGGCTGCGGGCGCTGCGGGGGAACCGGCACCCCGGGAAAGAGCCGCGGGGTGGGGCCGGTGTCCTCTCCTTGTAGGGCAAAGTCCCCGCGGGGCGCGGGCTGACCGTGGGGGCGGGGCAGCTTCTCACACCTTACAGAGAATGAGTGGGTGTGACATGAGCGCAGACGGCCGTCTCCTCCGCGGGTACTGTCAGCACGCCTACGATGGCCAGGACTACATCGCCCTGAACGAGGACTTGAGCTCCTGGACCGCGGCCAACATGGCGGCTCAGATCACCAGGCGCAAGTGGGAGGAGGCCGGTGTGGCAGAGAGTGACAGGGCCTACCTGGAGCACACGTGCGTGGAGTGGCTGCGCAGATACCTGGAGCGCGGCAAGGAGACGCTGCAGCGCACAGGTACCAGGGCCCGGGGACTCCTCCATCTCCTGTGGAAGTCCCCCTCCACTCCCACAGCCAGAGAGGAAAAGGGACCCAGCCCACCACACCCCTTCCCCTGCCCAGACAACCATGAGCCCCTGCCTTTCACATGCTGTGTCACACAGTGGCTCTGGAATCCACCTTGACCTCACCACAGTGAAACACACACTCTATCTCTCTCTCTCTGTCTCTGTCCATGGAGGGGAAGTCTGTCCCTGAAACAAGTGTGCAGCTGGTCCCTTCCACTCTAGCAGTGGCCTCAACCAGGACCCAGTATGGCTAGAAGTCTCTTCCAGTGCTTTGGAGAAAGTGTCTCTTATCTCCACCCAGGACAGAGCGCAGTGACTCTTGAGAGCTCCAGGGCTTCTGGCTTTGGGTGACCTCAACCAGAGTCTACGACACTGCACTGTTTAGGAGATGATTCCAGAAGCCTAGTTCTAGGCTGGATCTGCCATCCCTGTCCCTGAGCTGGCTCAGTGGTCCATGGGAGGCAAGGAGAAGCATCTGAGTTTCTGGGTTCTTCTCAGTCCCCCAAAGGCACACATCACCCTCCACCCCACCTCTGAACATAAGATGACCCAGAGGTGCTGGGCGCTGGGCTTCTACCCTGCGGAGATCACCCTGACCTGGCTGCGGGATGGAGAGGAGCAGACCCAGGAAATGGAGCTGGTGGAGACCAGGCCTGCAGGAGATGGAAGCTTCCAGAAGTGGGCAGCTGTGGTGGTGCCTTCTGGGGAGGAGCAGAGATACACATGCCATGTGCAGCATGAGGGGCTGCCTGAGCCCCTCAGCCTGACATGGGGTAAGCAGGGCTGAGGGCACAGAGCACAGCTGTGCTCAGAGACAGCAGGAGGCATGTGCAGCTCTCAGCAGGTAAGGACTGAGAGCTGGGTTCACAGTGCTCATCCTCCTTTCCCTTCTCTTCCCAGAGCCGCCTGCTTGGCCCACCATTCCCATCAACAGAATTGTCACTGGCCTGATTATCACTGAAGTCCTGGTTATTTTAGCTGTGGTGGTTTTTGTGCTGTGGAGGAAGAGGACTGGAGGTAGGAAGGTGGAGGTCTGAGTTCCTGGGCCACTTGTGGGTTGCAGGCCCCAGGCAGAAGTGTGAGCTGCACTCCTAATGGGAAGTTGCAGCACACTCAGGGCCTTCCCCAGCCTGACAGCTCCTCTTCTGTAAATCACCTGGAACACGAAGGACACAAAATTCCCCCTCCTGAGGGTGGTGATGGGAACTGATTGCAGCACTCAGGCCCACAGGGACTCAGCTGCCCACTGAGGTCACACTCTAGGACGTCCTGGGGTCTCTTCCCAACGGTTGCACTCCTCTCTCCTGATGCTTCCTTGGTTCTATGGTCACATTTCTAGAAACTGCCCATGAATTCAAGGCTAGGGATTCATCCAGGCCCTCATGGCACTGCTTGTGTCCTGCCTCTCACATGGTGTTTCTCCTTACTGGTAACAATAGAGCAGGCTATGATAAGGTGTTATACCAAAATTCGGGGACCCCTAGAAGACCACCAGAGACCACGATCAATGTAAGCAACAAAGAGCCGGTTTATTGAAAGCTCGAGCTTGGTCCTCTGCGCACATGGTAACTGGTGACACTAAGAGGCCCTGAGCATAGAATCAGGGCCGTTTTTATAGTCTTGAACAAACAACTTTAAGGAACTTTTACATAAGAAATTACATGATTGGTTAACATTTACATTTATTTATTTATTTTTTTCCGGTCGTAGGGCTTGAACTCTGGGCCTGGGCACTGTCCCTCAGCTCTTCAGCTCAAGGCGAGCGCTCTACCACTTGAGCTACAGCGCCACTTCCGGTTTTCTGGTGGTTTATTGGAGATAGGAGTCTCACGGTCTCTCCTGCCCGGGCTGGCTTTGAACCGTGATCCTCAGATCTCAGCCTCCTGAGTAGCTAGGATTACAGGCGTGAGCCAACAGCGCCCGGCTAACATTTACATTTAAAGCAAGCTAACCTGGGCAAGTAATGATTGGTCGATCTTTACAGAAAAAATGTCCTTGGTCCATAGCTTGATGGAAAAAGGTTATGAGTCACACCCAGACCAACAGAATGCATGGCATGTCTTGCCCCGGGCTCTGAAGAATGGGTTGGTTAGAAACTCTTAGTCCTAGGTGGGTGGGGGGCAACACCACTTGGGGGCTAACACCTGCCTTAAGCAAACGCCATCTATGGCTCCAAGAATTGTGCATGGCTTTCTGTCATAAATTCCTAGCATTGGGGCTAAAATGGATCACGAGTCAAGTCGCAGAACTGAGATGGAGTGTTAAACAAAAATGGAGTTGCTTAGGTTTCTTAAAACATTGTATTTCTTCCCTAGGGCCTTACTGCCCCAGCCTCCGGGAAGGGCGTTGCAGCTTTGGGGATGATTCTGAGGACTTTGCGCCCTTGGTCAAGGCTGTAAACCCTTTGAAGTCTTTTACTAAGCAACTCTAGGCTCCCAGGCTGACATTCCACTACTAAGTAACTAAAACCAGTCACAGTTAAAATCATACAAAAACCATACAATCATCTAGCACAAAGCAATTCATACAGAAGCAAAAATGGCTGTTAGGTGCTGTCTTTACATGATTTTTTTTTACGTTCTTCAAAGGCTGCAAGTGAGTACTCTGGGGGGAAGGAGATAACCTTTGTTGTGGTGCAGACAGGACCTGTGGGAGCTCATCCACCCTGGAATTCCTCCAGTGACGCCTGTGTTCTCTAACCAGTTCCTCTCTTCCACCACAGGACATGACAGTGACCAGGGTTCTGATGCTTCCCTCACAGCTGAAAAAGGTAACAACCTAGAGACCCTATGTGGGGGGCAGGGCTGAGGCACAGGGAAGGCTGTGTTGGGGTTATAGGGGCTATGCATTGGGATGTTAGTTGGGCTGCTCAGAGTGTGTCCCTAAAAGTGATTGATCTGAATTGTTGTCCTTGTTCTTTTCTTCTTCAGTGAGAAATGACTCCTTTTCATGGGACTGAGAGTCACAACATTTGTTCCTACCCTGCCTCTCCTCCTCCCTCCTGGGACATCATGAGCTCCTGACTTCTCCTTCTGCACCTGGATTTTGACGGAGTCCAGGTGTCTGTGTCTTGTCAGGACCTGTTAGGAAGTGAAGAGCCAGCCCAGCCCTGAGCACTGGGACCCTCCCCACACTGACCTAGGACTCTTTCTCCATCCACCTGCTGCTCCAGCAGAGGCAGGGCTAGGGTTCCCCATCCTTGACTTCACTTTAGTTTGCTCTGAGCTGCAGCTCCTCACTTCCCCATTGATAAAGAGAATGATGATGTGGACTAGTTTTTTTAATTGTTGTCACAAGATAGGGTTGGATAAGTAATAAATCAAAGGATGTTTCCCAAAACTTGAGACAGAAAATAAAACATGAAGCTCACGCCTGTAATCCTAGCTACTAAAGAAGCTGAAATCTGAGGACCATGGTTCAAAGCCAGCCAGGGCAGCAAAGTCCTGGAGACTTTTATCTCCAATTAACCACCAGAAAACCGGAAGTGGCGCTGTGGCTCAAGTGGTAGAGCGCTCGCCTTGAGCTGAAGAGCTGAGGGACAGCACTCAGGCCCAGAGTTCAAGCCCCATGACTGGTTAAAAAAAAAAAAAAGGAAAGAAAAGAAAAGAAAACATGAAAAAAGAATCCTCATGCTTGCTGAGCTGAGTGTTTTGTGGGTGGGGACAGGGCTAGGCCGTGAGCAGCCCAGTGTGGAGGGCCATGTGCTTGGAGCTCAGTCCATCCTGGATAGTCATATTGTCAGTCCTCACCTGGGTTCTCTTCCTTGCTCCTTATAAGGAGCTGCAATCACAGACCTTAGAGATTCCCAGGGCTTCTCCTGTGTCTAGGACATAGGACAGACTGTACAGGTGAGACTAGGCTCAGGCCTGATTCCTATGTTCATTTTTTGTTCCATAATTACACCCGTTTTTTCATCCTGCATGAGCTGGTGTTTTGTTGGCCTTCTGGGTGTCCCTGTGACAGCAGCAGGGGGTGTGTTCCTGTCACTGCCTCCCAAAGCACCAGGCAGCCTTGCACAGGGTGTGTGTGGTGAGGAGAAAGGCAATGTGAGGCAGCTTGCTTTCCTTCTAGCACTGCTGCCTCCAGTGTGGTTCTGTGCTGTCCCCAGTGCCCTCAAGGGAGCCACCTGTGGGAAGAGCAGAGAGGAGGGATGTCAGGTTTCTCCTGCGAGCTCCCTTCCTGATCCTCTGCATCTTCTCTGCCCACCTTCCCTCCACCTGCCCTCAGCACTGGTTAGTCCCAGCTCTGCTCCCACCCAAATTCCTGGATTGAAGAGCAGAGTGAGGAGGGGATTGTGATCCTCATCTTGATTGGCTGAGAGGGTCTGGGAGGTTAGTAGAGCTCATATCCTCCCGTGTATGTGGGGGGTGGAGGTGGGGAGCATTTCAAAGAGAATTGGGACATGAGGGCTCCGACCTAGGGAGTGGTATTATCCACTGATGGATTCAAAACCTGAACAGAGTTTGGCAGCTGCCTCCTGCTGCCAGGAGAGGCCCAGTGCTTCCTATTGTGCCCCACCCTTCCTGTCAGGCTGGACTCAGTCCTTTCAAACCCTGACCAAAACACTTCCGACTGCTTAACCTGATTCTCCAGATAACAATACAGGAATCCCCTGCCAAAGAGTCAGGCCATTGCTGTGATTATGTAATTGTGTAGTTCTAAAACCTTTGGGATTGGTCTGCAGATGGAATTTAGAAAAGTTTGGAGAAGGGCTAGAAAGGTGGCTCAGTGGTAGAGTGCTTGCCTTGCATGCCTGAGGCCCTGGGTTCGATTCCTCAGCACCACATAAGCAATAAGAAAAAAGCCGGAAGTGGTGCTGTGGCTCAAGTGGTAGAGTGCTAGCCTTGAGCTGAAGAGCTGAGGGGCAGTGCCCAGGCCCAGAGTACAGACCCCACGACGGACCCAAAAAAAAAAAAAGAAAAGAAAAGAAAAAAGTTTGGAGAAGCCCAGGATGCTTGCAACAGACCAATTCTGGCAGGAGCTCAGTCCACAGTGCCCACAGGAACTCGGATATTGCATGCCAGCTCCTGATGCTGCAGGTGAGGAAGGAAGAACTATTGGGACCCACACCCAAGGCCAGAGCACTTGGGGAAGAAATACAATGCATGGACCAAGGACAAGGTTTCCTGAGAAGTAACTTGTTCTCCTTAGCTGAGGAGAGGACAGGGGAGGGAGGAGAGAGAGTGAAGCAGGGGAGGAAGAGGAAGAAGTGAGCACTGCCGTCCCAAGTGGCCCTGAGCTCCCTGGGGGAGGCCCTGGTGCCACAGCTACCCCTCAGCAGTAGGTGGCCAATGCTCCAGTGGTAAAGGCAGTGTCTGCACAAAGATGTGATAGACTGTCCATTCAGTAGACCTGGGTTTCGCTCATTATGTTTGTATTTCAAATCCATCAGGGAAGTAAAAGGAGGTCAGAACTGTCATTCTTGTGGAGCTTATGTTCTATTGAGAAGAAGCAGGGAGCATGCTCTCTCAGAGAGCAAGGAAGGGCCATGTCATGCAGGAGGAGGACAGTGCTACAGGATTGGTGACATAGTGTGGGTATAGGGAAGGAAAGATGACTGCTACTAGGTGTTTGGGTTTTTTTATTTTTGAAGATTTTGTTTTTCTTTATTTTTGTATTTTTCTTTCTTTCTTTCTTTTTTTTTTTTTTTTTTGGTTGGTCGTGGGGCTT